TATAGACTTTGAACTGCTAACAGATCATTAAGCCCCTGGAGTACATTTATTCCGAAAGTTCAAAGCCCTCTGCCAGAGTAGAGAGGTGGGTTCTCAAGTTACAACCCTACCATTGTACAGTTAAGTACATTCCTGGGCCCAACAACATAGCAGATGCCCTGTCCCGCCTTACAAAGGACACTCCAATGAACAACAGGAACAAGACGGAAGAGTATGTTTGTTTCGTAGCAGCTAATGCAACCCCAGCAGCCATAAGCATGGAAGAGATTAAGAAGGAATCTGCAGAAGACAAAGAATTAATAGAGCTGCGGAAATGCATTCTCTCGGATACGTGGGAGACATGAACTCTGTGTTTGTAGACACTTGATATTGAGAGGAACCAGACTAGTCATCCCAGCGAAATTGAGGAAGCAAGTCGTAGAGCTAAGCCACGAGGGACACCGAAGTGCAAGACATACTATGAATGTCAACTAGTCAGTTTACCAAGTCCACCAGAACCTGTCAAGACCACAAAGCTGCCGACCGAACCGTGGCAGGATGTTGCAGCCGACCTGTTAGGCCCAATGCCAACAGGGGAACACTTGTTAGTGGTTGTAGACTATTATACTCGTTTCTATGAAGTTGTGATTATGAACTCTGTTACAGCTAACAGTATTATCAAAGCACTGGAACCTATCTTCGCCAGATATGGTTATCAGAACTGATAATGGGCCTCAGTTAGTGGCAGAAACGTTTGAAACCTACTTAAAGCAGAATGGTATAGAGCACAGGGGGTCGACACCTTACTGGCCTCAAGCAAACGGGGAAGTGGAAAGACAAAACAGAAGCCTGCTGAAAGCTATGAAGATTGCCAAGTCTCAAGGAAAGGACTGGAGACAAGAAATCAACATGTACACCTATTTGTTGGCATATAGGACAACACCTCACTCGACAACCGGAACGAGTCCAGCGGAGCTGATGTTTGGGAGGAAGATTCATTCGAAGATTCCCGATATTCGTCGCTGCAATAGCGAAGCATACCAAGAAGTAAGAGATAAGGATCCTGAAATGAAGCAGAAGATTAAAGATTACGTTGATGTGAAGAGGCATGCTAAGGAAAGTAGCATTAAAGTCGGAGACAAGATCCTCCTGGAGCAGACAAAACAGAATAAGTTCAGCACTAACTATGAACCTGTACCATGTGAAGTCACTGGAAAATTTGGAAACCAAGTTACGTTGTGGTCAAGTCTCAGGATGGACTTGAATACAAGCGCAACACATCACACATGAAGCTCCTAAAGGAAGAGACAAAGGAGGTAGAGCCGGAGATGGAAGTACCAGAACTGGCCATAGAGAAAGCAACGCACACTGCAACTCCAGAGAATGAAGGAACTACTGTACAACAGAGGCCGAAAAGAAACCGGCGACCACCAGCATACCTCAAGGACTATGCGCTAGGACAGTGACATTAGTCAATTTGACATTTGTTGTTGAATTAGTTGTTGTTAATTAGTTTTCCCAAAAGGGGAGGGAATGTAGTGTCTGGGATACCTGTGGTTAATATTATCATGTTGGGATCCCTGTGTGTAAAAGGAGAGGACCGCCATTAAAAGCGCGTTGGGAGAGCGTTCTATGTGTGTTAAATAATCTTTGACTAAATCCGGTTCGATCCCAGTAGAAATACAACAATTTTCAAAATGGCGTCTATTTTCAGCGGTCTCATATATGAGAAGTAATTAGCATATTAGTCACTTTTCTTAAAACCTGCAGCCGGCTCAACCTCGTTCCCAGAGCCTTCTCTTTCTCTGCAACGATGTTGCAGCCGGTTCAGAAAAGCTCGGAAAGCGAAACAACAAACCACAAGTCTTTTGGTGTCAACTTTTTCAATGTCTTCTCCTTCATATTGCCCTCATTATGTATCACTGCCTAAAACTATGACATTCCAGCAGTTCAATTTCGATCTGAGTGGCGAAATAGTTCTGTACATTTGAGTTATTTCGTGGCCTGCAGAGCAGACATGATCAGTACTAGCTGTAAATGTGTCTCAATATTGCCCTGGCTATCTAGTTCTCGCACGGTTTACGGCTTCCTCGTCCCTCCTAGGTCAACCACGTTTGTTTGTCTTCTGGTTCTGCTATGCTAATATTCTAATTTCGAAGCTAGCCCATTTACTGTGTGGATACTCGAATCATGAACACTTCAAGGTTTTTTTTTTCCATTTCTACTCGAATATATAATCCAATCAGAAGCTAGATTCTAACAGAGGTTTCAAAAACTTTTAGTGCAATTTCAGTCTCTTGGGTTGTGGAAAAATTTACAATATAAAGTTTATCAATTATTTCATAACAGCTACTTCGTCAATGAACGATATTTTTGTCAATATTTCTGTAAATTATAGAAAGTTTGCACTTTGTGCGACAATCTAGCAGTTTATTAGTTCACACAGATCGAGGTAAAAATAAAACATCTAAAGATTTTCCGCAGTTTGTTTTGATATAGTGTTTGATTCCTTTGTTTCTACAGAGAGCTGTGATTGGAGAATTATGAAGAGACGTCAAAAGAACCTTGAAGTGTTCATGGTTCTAGTGCACTGTGCCGATAATTTCGTCACAGCTCATTTAGTCCAGTGAAGTGTTTGTTTGAAGTTAGTATTTCAATTATTTGAATTATTTCATAACAGCTACTTCGTTATTCTCCTACGCAGCCGCTTTTAGTGTCGTCACGCAAATAGCGGCTGCGTAGAATACTACTACTTCGTCAATGAACGATATTTTTGTTTTATTTCTGTAAATTATTGAAAGTTTGAACTTTGTGCGACAAGTTTGTTTGAAGTACTTGGTCAAATATATATACTTAGGGGAAAAGTTTTTAATAAATTTTCACAAAGTAAGAGTTTAAGGATATAATATGGCAAACACCTTTCTTTAGATTGAGTTTTATTTCAATAGTTTGGGAATCATATAAATTTGAAAGCCTAGTTGGTTATGCTCAATCAGAACCGCCATTCCGAGACGACAGGAAACCTTAACTTTCGTTACCGTCTAGGAACCCCTGCGTGTGCTAAAGAGAAAAGTAATGAAATATTTGTACAACAAAAATAATCCAAATGCATTATACARACTCTTAGTAAAACTCTCACAGAAGCGTAGTTAGGCCTACCTTTGATTTTGCTGTGTTATTACTTACTACCTGTAAGTGCCCGTTTAGCTTCCTATGATAGTCTAATTTTACCTCTTTTTGAATATGCAAATTTAGTCTGGGGCGACAAGAATAACGAGGTTCTTATACAA